ATAACAACCCACGAGCTATAATACATACTTGCATGTGTTGTATATATATATATATATATATATATATATATATATTCACATAATTATTTGATTATTAAATTTTAAGATATAATTAAAAACAAAAAAAATATCATCAGGTAACCCACACTTCTGTGAGTTTGATCAGAACTGATAACTAATAATAAAATTATACAAATTTTAAAACTGTTTCTATTGCTTTTTATCGATTTTTTTTAACAGGCTCCGCGTTCTAAGAAATCCTACGTAATGATCGTCCAATTTCAAATATTATTTGTTTCTTTCTGGCAATCGATGCATCTCAATTATTACGATGCGATGCATGTGAGAGGCACGCACGTGACCGTAGGTGCGGCGGCAGGAGGTACGAGAAGATGCCTCCTTCGCCGTGCCTTTTCCATTCCGTCGAGGTAGGCACGGCCCGAGAGTATCGCGTATACCGTTCCTTCTCGTGAGCATTCCAAGCGGGAATTCTCGAAAGCCAGTCGTGTTGTAGAAACCGCGGCGCGGTTTGCCCGCTCGCCGGTACTTTCGACTGGTCGTAAAGTCGACGTTTCGCAGCTACGCGCCGCTTTCAGTAATACGGAATTTCGTCCCAAAAGCGGATGCGACCGTCGTCGCCGAGGTATTGGTAACCCACCCGGAAACCCCAACGGACCATCCATAAAATTCTGGTGAGTTATGCGTACAATTCTACCTATCCGTCTACCTGCGAAATCGACGGTCACTTCTGCCAGGCATCCATCCTTAACGTTGAATAGAATCGTTCGGCCGTTCAATATTTCAACCGTCGGTTGAAATATTCGAGACATCGGTACTTTAACTAAAATTTATGGTTCAAACTTGTTCTTTGTATTATGTGTTTAATATAAACGTTATGTTGCGTTATTAAAAATACATATTGATAAACATGTTGATCAAGTTATATTGAAAGCTTTCGTGTTTACGTGATGCTCATATGACATGCTCGTGAAAAGATATGCATTTATTGATTCTATCTATAATTTCATATGCATATCCTAATGCCTATATGTGTACTTTACTTATTCAAATATTTTTTCTATTAGATAACACGCGTAAAATTATAAATTGAATTTTGTCGCAAATTTTGTAGCAATTTTTATCGCGATTTATAGATTTCTTAAAACAAACTTAATGTATTATTACTCGTCTTATTATTTGATGAATCTTAATAAACTATGCGTTAACATTCTTTTGTTATGATATATAACATCATATAGATAGACATCAATAATATTACTTTCTGACATAATCTCAAAAAATATCAATAATATTACTGATATGATTTAATATTTTATATATTATATCATTATATTGTAATA